TAACAAATTATTCTAGAAAAATAAGGGAAAAACTAGAAATAAAAAGAGACTGATGTATTTTAAAGCTGCAATGATAACAAAAGAACAAAAAGAAGAAAAAGAATAAATTTCATTCTAGAAGAACATAAAGATGAAAGCAGAACTTAAATAGTAGAAACGATGGTGGAAGAACAGGCCTGAAACCCTATGGATTAAACCAAATAACACTTTCTACTTGTGAATCAGGGTTTTAAAATTATTTTTAAAATTTTTATTTTCATTTCCAAATTCTCTCCCTCCCTTTCTCATTGAGATGTCAAGAAATATGAAACTCATTATACATTTGATGTCATGAAAAACAAATATTCACATTCATCATGTAGCAAATAAAAAAAAGAAGAAAAATGAAGAGGAAAAATATTCTTCAATATCTAATATTCTTTTGCACTATATGCAGAAATCTATCTATAAATTATTTTATCAGGGAGTGTATAGCATTTTTTGCAGTTTTGGGATTCTTGTGGATCTTTGTATTGATCAGCTGATTTTACAGTTTCACAGTTGATTATCATTATAATATTGTCATTGCCATATACATGGTTCTCCCGGTTCTGCTCACTTCATTTTCATAAGTTCATGTAAAACTTTTTAGATTTTTCTGAAACTATAGTGCTTGTCATTTTTTATAGCATAATAATGTTCTATCACAATCATATGCCACAATTGGTTCAGCCATTTTCCAATAGATGGATATCCCCTCACTTTTCAATTCTTTGCCATCAGAAAAAGAGTTGCTATAAATATTTTTGTACATATGGGTCCTTTTCCTTTTCCTTTGATGTCTTTGGGGTACAGACCTAGCACTGTAGTAGTATTGTTGAGTTAAAGGGTATGCATAGATTTATAGTCCTTTGGGCATGGATACAAATTGTTCTCCAGAATGGTTAGACTAATTAACAGCTCTGCCAATGGGACATTAGTGCACCTGTATTCCCACAGCTCCTATGGCATTTGTTGTTTTCCCTTTCTGTCATCTTGTTTTTTTGTTTGTTTTAGTGAGGCAATCGAGGTTAAGTGATTTGCCCAGGGTCACACAACCAGTAAGTGTCAAGTGTCTGAGGCCAGATTTGAACTCAGGTCCTCCTGACTCCAAGGCCAGAGCTCTATCCACTGCACTACCTATCTGCCCCTCCTTTTCTGTCATCTTAACCAACCTGATGGGCATGTGGTGATATCTAAGAGCTGCTTTAATTTGTATTTGCCTCATTTTTAAAGCATTTTTACATAACCATTGATAGCTATGATTTTTTTTCTTCTAAAAGTTGCTAGTTTATATCCCTTGACCATTTATCAATTGGGAAATGATTTTTTCTTTTCTTTTTTTTTTTTTGTAAATTTGACTCAGTTCCCTTTAAATTTGAGAAATGAGACCCTAATTGAAAATCTCATTGTAAACTTTTCAACCAGTTTCTTCCTTTCTTTCTAATTTTGACTGCATTGCTTTTGTTTGTGTAAATACTTTTTAATTTCACATAATCAAAATTATCCATGTTATCTTTTATGATCCTCTCTATCTCTTGTTTGGTCGTGAACTCTTCCCCTATCTATAAATCTGAAAGGTAAAATTTTTCCATGCTCTACTAATTTACTTATGATATAACCCCTGAAGTCTAAATCATATACTTATTTTGAGTTTGTTTTGATATATAGTGTGAGATGTTGATCTATGCCTAGTTTCTGCCAGACTATTTTCCAATTCTTCCAGCAGTTTTTGTCAAATAGTGTGTTCTTGTCTCAATAACTGAGATTTTTGGTTTTATCAAACACTAGCCAGCTGTGCTCATTTGCTTCTATATATAGAGTACGTAATCTATTCTATTTGATTGCGTGAAATTGAAAAGGTTCTACACCAACAAATGAATGAATCTAGGTTGAGATGAGAAGTGGTTGAATGGGATAAATCTTTTCATTGAATTTCTCAGATAAGTGTTTGGGATAGAAGACACATAGACAAATAGCAGAATATGTATTTGGGGTATCCATTGTCTCCCCAGGCAGCTCATTCAAGTTTTGGATGGTTAGCATTGTTAGGAAGTTTTTCCTCAAATCCAGCCAAAATCTGCTTCCCTGCAATACCCATTGTTTCAAATTCAATCCTCTGTGAAAAAGTTCACTACAACTTTTCTAATTCTTCTTGCATATCATGTTCCTTCAAGTACATGAAGACTACTTTCATATTCTCCTCAGCCTCTTCTTCAGGTTAAACATGGCAGTTCCTTTAACTGATCCTTGTATGCCATGGTTGTGTCTCTTCACCATCTTGGCAGCCTTCTTCTGTATATGCTCCAGCCTGTCATTGTTAGGTAGCACTCAGAAGTGAACACTCTAATCCAGATGTCATTTGACCAGGGCATGGCAGAACATGAATCTCATTTCTCTTATTCTTGAAATTATGACTTTTATAGAAAAGAGCCTAGAATTGTGCCAGTTTTTTTAAGGTAAGTCATAATGTTGACTTATACTGAACTGAAAAGTCCCTAAAATCACTGAATCTTTTTCACATGAACTGTTGTACAAAGTTTCTCATCTTGTCTTGTGAAGCTGACTTTTAAAATCCAAGTATATTCCCTTTGCATGGCCCATCATTCTAAGCTGTTTGGATCCTTTAGGATCCTAAACTATTCTTCATGTTAGCTAACCTCCCAAGCTATATGTCATTTACAAATGTGATAAACTACTTTTGGGGTCCAATTATTCTGTGAATATTGAAAATTATCAAGGAACCCATTTTGACCAGAAGGATAACGAATGAGACTTGGATACACATGTAGCTGAAATCTTAGTTCCCTATGTTACACCATTTGGCTGATTTACCTCCCATTCTAGCAACTCTGAAAGACCCCTCAGTAAAATGTTTGCTGGGGCAGTATTGGTGACCATAGAGAGAAAGACAGAAACTGGCAAGGGTCATTTCTTGGGATTTAAACTTTTAGGGATTTCACACTTCAAAAGTTACTTCAAGATGAGGCCTTTCCCTATCTTACTAACTGTTAATGCTTCCCCTGTCTCTCAAATTACCTTGTAGTTATTTAATATGTACTTATATACCCATACATGTTGTTTCCTTAATGGAATGGAAGCACTTTGAGGACAGGGACTGTATTGTTTAATGGCTCTTTCGTTGTTATTTGTCCTTCATTTCAGGAGAGGACCACCACATCAGGAAAGTGATGCCATGACTTGTAAACGAATTGAATTTCAGTGAGGCAGGGCTGTGCAAAGTCACCAGACTCACTTTCTCCTCCAGTACCATCTGGCTCCATTAGCAAGATAAAGATCAGGAAGACTGGAGATGGCCTGGATGCAGTGGGAGACTTTGGCTTTTTTAAGCTAAGGTCTTTGACAGGTCTCATTTTTACTGAGGCTAAGCCCATTTAGTGATTAAGGTTAGTAAGAAATGAGGCAAGGAATGGCCCTTTGACCTAATTTTAAAAAAAAAGATGAAATTGAGAGTGGAAGACCCTCAGGGTTTCTGGCCAAAGCAGATGCAGTTATTTTTTTCATTAATCTGAGCTATTAAATCCCAATCAAAGACCATTAAGTGGGGCCTACACTAGGACCTATTGCTGACCAATCAATGAGAACCAGAGTGAATTTGGTTTAAGAGGTGGCCTTTAAGAAATATATTTAGCCTGATAACCTCAAGATATCCTGCTCGGTTTCAGCCATCAAAATTTACATTCCTTAGGGCAGAGAACCTGCAGATAAGGATATGACACCCTATATGGACACATGGAGAGGAATGATGGAAAGGCAGAGAAGGGAAGAGAAGAGGAGAGGAGGGGTAATGGCTAGTACAGTAGCTTGCACAAAATAGGAACTTAATTAATGCATATTGATTGGTAAGTCACAGAGAATTATCAATAGATAAGATAACTAACCAGTAGTGAAAGGGTTATGTTTGCAAGAAAAATATGTTTTCTTAGGAAACTTCACATAAGTGAAGTTCTTACTGAGTGACCTGCAAAAAGTGATGTATTGCTTTGAAAGAAGTTGAACATACATGATTCAATGTCCCAGAGAACTTCACTCTGACCAGCAAAACTCAGCCCAAATAGTAGACTGCCAGCTTTTCTTTGACCAACAATATCAGTCCAAACAACCTAGGTTAGGTCAAGTTCTCAGTCAGGTCTCCTCAACTCAGATAATTATAAGGCTTCTGAGAAAGAAAACAATTTTATTTTTAGGTAATGTATTTGTGAGGGTGGTGGGGCCAACACTAGGAGACCAGGACTTTGGCTCTACTTCTTTCACTCTTTGTGATGCCAAGGAAATCATAGAGGTTTTCTCTGCCTCCATAATGGGGATCATGATATATAATTTGTTGCCTTACAGCATCATTGTGAAAGTATTAGAAGAGCCCTTTCTAATTGAGAGGAGAACTTTGCTCAAGGTGGGATGAGTAAGAGAACTGACATTCAAACCCAGATTTTCTGACTCTTGCTTTGTCTAGTGTATGTGTGTGTGTGTGTGTGTGTGTGTGTGTGTGTGAGTGTGTGTGTTGAACTACATCATGGAGATAGAACTAAAGGGAAGTCTTTAATGTACATGAAAAACTACAAAATGGGCCAGCAAAAATGAGGGGGTGTGAAAAGGTGGGGTTGGATTGAAGCCATTGATTTTCCCATTGTTGCTCAAAGAATCTTTGAACTACTTCCTATTCTGATAAACATCTCCTTCCCAACAGTAAATGCGTCAATTATCAAAACTCATGGAGGATGCAGAAACTCAAAAAATTAGGTCTAATTGATTATTTGGATGGATTTTAACAAGTAGTCATTCAAAATGAAGAAAGGCATGGGGCTTCCAAAAACAATAGTATGTTATTTCACCTTTCCCTTACCCCCTAGTGCCCTATTGTAAGACTTACTGGAACAACTGTGCAAAAAAGATAACAGTTTTCAATGCCACATTGATCTCAGGATATATTTATAGAGAAAGATGTTAGGAGAGGAGTACACAACTTCTAAACAGCTTCACTGAGTGAGTGACTGAAGGTAAAGACCTGTGAACATCTGAGAAGATGAAGGTCCTTTTCCTCACCATAGCACTAAGCCTGTTCTCTATCCTCCAAGCTCTGGAGTCATCCCCTTCTGAAGAACAATTTGAGGTGAGATTTCACTTAGAGATCTTGTAGATTAGATGGAGGGATATACAAGCAAAAGGGTGTCATTTCAAATTCTGAGCCACACTGGGCTGTTTTTAACCTGGGTCTGTAGTCCTGTAATCTTCTTATCTTGCAATACACTGCAATTTTATTGCTGTAGATTTCATTAGAAAATCTTGGATTGATTAGGGGTGGGAGATTGGGAAAAGTCAGTGCAGTAAGTAGATTCCAAGTCAAGAATTTCACTATTCTCTTGCTTTAATTGACTCTGTCCAGAATGAACTGGCAATAGGGAATATGATTCAGTTAATCTTACCCTTGCTAATGGCCATTCAGAGAAAGTAATGTTCCTGAGTGGAGTTGGGTCTCCAAGGATTCAAAGTCACTTTCTTCAGGAATTTAGTTTTGGGGGTTCAATGCCAAATATCTGCTTCAATTTGAGCCATATCAAAGTTGGGCCAGCTTGATAGGTTTGAGTTCTCAAGGCTAGTTCTCTTTAACCTAATGACTTCTTTCTCTAAAACCTGATTTTATGCCTGTTACCACTAGGTCCATGGTGGTCCCTGGGTAACTGGCTCATGCATGATTTTTGCCTCAAAATTGGGATTCTATTCAGGGATGAGGATGAAGATTAATATGATTGAGAGATGTTTGTGAGGGGTGGGTCTCATTATGTGCTCAGTTTTCCTCCTTCAAGTTCTAGCTACACATCATAATTCACTCCAGGGTACATACATTGTAAAGGCCATTGTGGCAGACAGTGAATTTCATGGGAAGAAGAAGCCTAAGGAGATGTCACCCTTGACAATCACCCGTCTTAATAATGGTGATCTGGAGGCCAAATTTACCATCAAGTAAGTAGACTGCCCACAAATGTCCTATTAGCCTGCTTCATCTTTATCTCTCCTGTTTAGGGCCATGGCTGGAGTTTATTACTTGCTGTCCTCTGCATATCTAATCTGACCACACACAGTACACATACTGTGTTAGAGTTAAGGTTAGAGTCTCAGAAGGATTAAGTAAAAGTTATTATTCAAGTATGCATTTACACACATACATAACTGTATATATGTACCTATACACATGTACAAACACATATGTATATGAAGCTTAGGCTTACTTTCCCACCAATGGGTGAAATGCTTACAATGCACTCATTGACTACTTTTTTCTGATTCATAGTTTATCTGCTAGCTCCCACATGCCCACATTTCCCTGTGGAAGCCTTTGTTCCAAGTAGTTCATAACACAAGTTATCCTATGTTATAAACTGCAGCCTACTCGTACTGTGCATCTCTTTTCATGTCCTTTGGGGTCACTTGGGTTTGGATTTCTTTTTTTTATTAATTTCTTTTGATTTATCAACAATCGCTTCCATATGCTTTTGAGTTGAAAATTTTTCTCCCCCTTCCTCCCTACCACCCTCCCCAAGATGGTGCATAATCTGATATAGGCTACACATATACATTCCTATTAAACGTATTTTCACAGTAGTGATGTAAGTAAGAATTAGAACCAATAGGAGGAACCACCAGAAAGACGAAACAATAATCAACAGAAGAAAAAAAAATAGCAAATAGTATGCTTCAATTTGCATTCAAATTCCATTGTTCTTTCTTTGGACTTGGATAGCATCTTCCATCACCACACCTTTGGAGATGTCTTAGATCTTTGTATTGCTGGGAAGGGTTAATTTATCAATATTAGTCTTCCTACAACGTGGTTGTTATTGTATACAACATTCTCTTGGTTCTGCTCACTTCACTTAGCATCAAACCATAAAAGTCTTTCCAGGTTTTTCTGAAGTCAGCCTGTTCATCATTTCTTATAGCACAATAGTATTCCATTACATTCATATACCACAACTTGTTCAGCCATTCCCCAATTGATGGGCATCATCTCAATTTCCAATTCTTTGCCATCACAAAAAGAGCTGCTGTAAATATTTTTGTACACATGGGTCCTTTTCCCATTTGTATGATCTCTTTGGGATGTAGCCCATGATGTTCCATGATCACCAGCTCTACAGATTATACCAAAGATTTTTCATTATTCAAAAAATGGATGATATGTCACATGGTTCTTTTCTATGAGTGAAAATAATCAGATCACAGGCTGTAATATTAATCTGCTTCTGGACATTCTCCTGTGCTTGCCACATTGAGAACTGGGTCAGGAGTAGAGGAATCAAATCACCTTTCCTGATTTCTATGACACAAAAATTTCTCTTCCTCTTGTTGTCTCCAGCAAAACCATTCACATGTGTTCTGTTTTCCAGCAAGAATGGCACGTGCAAAGAGATTAAAAAGATATTAGAGAAAACAAACAAGCCTGGGCTATTTTCCAAGGGTAAGTGAATCAAACATTCCATATTAAAAGAATTTAAGCCCAAGATCTGGCCTCCTTAAAGCGGTCTGTCAAGCCCAAGCAAAGATTAGGACTTGAGACTTTCCTTTATTCTTGGAGTCCAAAGGCTGTGGTTTCCTGACAATATCTAGTGAATTTGCATGCTTTTTCCATGGCATGGACTGAGTTGGTGAGTGGGTTTGTCTGTCTGCAGACATGACTGACTAAATCCCTAGGTGTGAGGGGTTGGGGTAGCAAAGGCAGGTTAGGTCGCTGCCTTTATGATTTGTTTGGGAAATCACAAGAACACTTCTTTAACTTATCTCCCACATTAGATACTTCACTGGCCAAAAGTATTTTTTTGACCACTGTTCTCAGGTTAGGGTTCATTATCACGTTAATATGATGACTCTCCAGAATGTTTCTTGCAGGGAAGGGGAAGAAAAGCAAAGATGGGGCACTGCAGCAGTTACATGCTTGCATTCTTGGGATTAGAGTTCTGTAGAGAAATAACATATGCAAAAAATCAGCCATTTGCATCACTATTTTTTAAAATGGACTTTTTCATTTACATACTGGGGAGAATTTAACCTTAATCATTTCCCAAAGACAAGGATGCTGACAGCAAGCGGGTGCTGCACTCATTCACAAACATTTATTAACTAACTCTAGTGTTTGGCACATTGTTCCGTTCATTGAAGGACAAAATTCAAGTTCAAAGTGATTCTTGCCGAAGGCACAACCAGACATCCATTTGTTCTTGCTTTCTTTGTCACTTTGGACCTGACTTATGATTTCATTGGTATCAGGAACTTCCAGTAAGGAAACTCCCCCTATCAAGACAGATCAGCTCCTGTTCTTCAAGTTATAGTCTATGAAAGTTTCTTCAATGCATTGAGAATTAAATGACTTGCTCATGGTAACCTTGGTAGTATATGTCAGAGGTGAGACTTGAACTCAGGATCAACAAACTCCAAGGTTGTTTCTCTATTCACTCTAACATACTATACTTCTAAAGTAGGACAAATTAATTATTTTCTGGGCCTCAGTTTCCTTATCTGTAAAATTAGGAGTTAAACTATTTTTTAAGGTTCCTTGAAACTCTTATACCTTTAGTCCTAGGCTTCTTTAATATACAATATTACATGATAAGTGCATTAGAAAGTTGCCATATCAGATCCAAGGGGAAGTTGTCCTGCTCATGTGACCACTCATCTCTCTCTCTCTCTCTCTCTCTCTCTCTCTCTCTTTTTGATTCTTCAATGCTACTGCCCAATAGGTCTGCAGTACTTCCCAACAGAGTGAGATCTTAAGCCCACTGTAGTCTACTCCCAACAGATTTTCTAAGAGGATTAGGAATGCTAAAGATATATGTTCTCACTGTCTCCACAGATAAGGGCAAACGTCAGGTACTTATAGAAAAGATGGCTGTGAGGGATCATTGGATTTTGCTCTGTGAAGGCGAGTTACTCGGCAGGCACATAAGAATTGCCAAACTTGTGGGTAAGTAATGTGGGATTTTGTGAATGCCTCCCAGAGAAGAATGTGAAGATGTGGAGCAGCTTGCTCACATGGATTACTCCTGCTCTTCAAACATTCCCAAATTTGGGATCTGTAGAAGGAGCAGGAAGGGATACATTTTGATACAAACCAAAGCCCAATGAAGTGGCCAGTGGATTCTATGAATTCCTTCAAGATTTTTCTATCTGGGGTTTTGATGGCAACAGAGGCGTTGCTTAACAATCACATTCCCAGGCTGCCAATACTGACTGAACTGCCCTTTAATGAGTCTGTAAAAGGCAAAATTCCTACTTTGAGCAAAATAGCAGGAGGAAGAAGACAGGGTGTCTTCATACTTTCTCTCTTTCTTCCATCATGCTTCTGGAGATTGGGAACATATTTTGTTTTCGTGTATGGTTGGAGATTTAGATGGGTTTTTCTATAAAGAGGTAGGTTTTGGAAGCACTTAATGTGGGGTAGAAGGGCATTCCTCAGCAGAAGATAAAAGTGTTAAACTGCCTACCACACTTAGTCTCTCATCTCCCTTGGTGCTGGCAATTTAGCTGACCAAGTAGCAAAACCCAAAGACTTTCCCTAGAGGAAGTAACTATAATAGAAACCAACACTAGAGAAGGATTGAGTTAAACAAACAGTTATTCATTCTGCCCTCTTTCTTCAGGTCCAGATGGAGAGGAGAACCCACAAGCCTTTGAGGAGTATAAGAAGTTTGTCAGCCTTAAAGGATTTAATGAAGCAAAAATCAACATACCCACACAAGCTGGTAACTAGAATGGAATTGGCTCCACTTTGCTGTGCCCTGTTTCATTATCCCCTCAACCCCAAACCCTTCCTTTCCCTTCTTTTCTTATTATTCCTTTCCTTAGAAGCTATTCTATACTAATTTCTTAGGAGATCTTGTATAATTGTTTGAACTGTATGGTAGGAAGTGATTTTGGCAAATCCACTCATGTATGTTTTTGTTTCTGCAGAAGCTTGCACCCCAGAACATGCTTAAGGTATGTACTTTTTAAAGACTTCTAGAGAATCTTCTAGAATAATCTAAATTCTTATACTTCACCTGGGATTTAAGCTTTTACTTGGTCCTATTCAACCACAGGAAGGTCAACATCCAAATTGTGTCAGAGGATCACCTTGTTTTACCTATCTCAAATAGCTTTCAGCCTCCTTTGGATTTCTGCCTTACTGTTTTATCTTTTTGCATATTATAAATGTTTTGGTACATCTCTATCTATTGCCAGGCCTTTCATTTTCAGACTATGCCTCTTGTTCTTTGTGTGTGTGTGTGTGTGTGTGTGTGTGTGTGTGTGTGTGGAAGGAGAGAACAGCTGGCTAAAGTGCATTCCCTTAGGAGAAGCAGTGTAAAGAACTACAATTGTGGAGTCAGTAGTTTCAACTACCTGTGTGACCTTGACAAAGTCACTTAACCTCTGTGGCTTCAGGTTCCTCTTATGTAAAATGAGAGTGAGGTTGGATTAGATCACTCCTATTATCTCTTCGAGTTTTAAATCAATGATCTTATAATAATAATAACAATCGTGATTTGATATATTTGAAGGTGGTGATGGAATTGTCCTTTATTCTTTCCCTCCAAATTTCTCTTAAGTCTCTCTTATGGTCTCTCTAATACATGATTCAGTTAGACAAAAGGTTTATTTGCACACAAGGTTTCAGGGATATTGAAACCACCCTGTCCATGGCTTAGTATATGGTAGGTTCTTTCTCAGCAGTGACCTCTCCCTTTCTCAGTTTAAAAGATTCTAGATTTAGAACTTTTTGTCCAGTTTAGCCGGCTCATTTTTCAGTTGTTGTAAATGCAGCCTAGAGAGATCACACAAATGACCTCTTCAGAATCAGTGAAGCCCAAATGGGAAGCCATTCCCTCTGACTCCAAATCCTCTGCTCTTTCTCACTTATATTGGTGTCTTTTACTGAACCTCTGGCATTTTGGGGCTAAGTTCTGCTAGCTCATGGGAAACTGTGACTTCTGTTCCTTTGTTTCTTCATTGACTTTCTCTTTGATGTTTTCTAGGAGAAGATGATTCCCTTCAACCTCAGAATCAATGCTGTCCAGGAATTCCCAGTCATATCCTTAAATGCCAAGCTCTGCCCAGTGCCTGGCTGCTGCATAAACCTCTCTCTTTTGCCCTTAACCTCTTTCACAAACTTTTAGTATTTTCTTCCAATGCAAAATAAACATATAAAGCAATCATTCTTGGCTCAGTCTCTCTCTCTTTTTGAAATTTTTCTTGGGGTTGATGAATAAGAAGTGGATGACAAGTAGATCAGGTACACTTGCTTGGAAGTCTATGGATCTTCAATTTCTAAAGGTTGAGAGGAACATGTATCTTCTACAGGGTGTATTCAAACATTCCATATACACAATACTCAAATAGCTGGCTGAAAAATCAAAGGGCAATCCATCTTCTCTTCATAGTGTTAAGCATAGTAGTAATTATAGCAACCGATTTAATGTTTCACAGCTCTACAGTTGAACACCTGAAACCCTTAGCAATGGAGGATCATCTGAATTTCACTATAATTTTGTAAGCATAATTATTCCAAAGAACAAGCTACCCAAATAATAAGCCACAAAGATGTATTTCCTCCTTGCCTGCCTGCTTCTCTTTCTCTTTCATTCCTCCTAATAACTCCCTAATGTTTCTGACTGTCTTCTCTATGGAACATTTTCTGATTCTCAACTGAATTTTATTTTGCATTTCATCCTGTTTTCCCCTGGGGATTGTTGTATTGCTCATTCTGAGCACAAAAATTGTTAGTTTTCTTTTTGCTAGTAACTGTGCTTCCTCTCCTCCTAGCAAAAAACTGTCTTGCTTTTCTCTGATTTAGCTTAATTTTGTAATGATCAGATCAGTTCACTTACAGCCTCCATTTTCTTATGGTCTTTTTCCAATCCCCATTCTTTTTGATCTCTCTGTAGCCTTTGATACCATTGATCACCATTTTCTTTTGCTTCTCCTCCAATCTTTTCAACTATTCCTTTTCAGTCTTTGCTGGATCTTCATCCATGTCATGCCACTTTACTAAAGTATCCCTAAAGGCTCTGTCCTAGCCTATTTTCTCTTTTACTTCTACATTGCTTCTCTTGATGATATCGTTAGCTCCTGTGTGTTGGATGATCTCAATCCAAGGTTGTGAGCCTGGGTGACAGGGAGAATTGTAGTGCCCTTGACAGAAATTGGAAAGTTTTGAAGCTGTCAATGGGGAGAGTAATTTCATGAAAACCTAGAGACAAAAGAATACCAAGGAGAAGAATTCATATCTTTAGGGAGAACAATTTTAATTGAATAATGAGGCTGGAAGCCAGCCTGTAGAGAATTAAGAGGAGATGAAGAGGAAGGGAAGTGGAGGCACCTATTGTAGATATATTTTTCAAGGATTTGAGTCATAAAGAGAAGGAGAGATGTGGGATGATAGTTATGGGGATGGATGGATGAGGGAAACAGACATATTTGTAGGCAACAGAGAGTTAGACAGTAGTAGACAGAGAGAATGATGTGAGTATTGTGAATGACAGAGAGTGTCAATTAGCTGAAGGAGGTGGGATGGAATGGGATCCTTCATGCATGTAGAAGAATTTTCCTTGGCAAGAAGAAAGGTAATCTCTTCATGTGAAGGAGAAATGAAGGAGGAAATCATGGCAGAAGTCATATGTGTGAGGAGGAGAGAGAAGAGGTAGTGCTTGGTGAATTGTCTCATTTTTTTTCAGTAAAATACAAGACTCACCTGACAGTGTGGGGTAAGGTGAGACTAAGTAAGATTCGAAGTGAGATGGAAAAGTTTGGAAGAAGCAAGAATCATTGTAGGGGGTGAATTAGTGAATTAAATAGGGAGATGTAAAAGGATTGTTTGTTGTAGCAACGGCACTATTGAGAATATGTAACATATATTTTTAATGTACTCAGTCAGCACGATTCCATGCTTTTCTCCAGCTTTTTTCAGTAACACATGAATAAGAATGAAAGCAACAGAAGTTGGGAGTTATTGAAAGCAGAGGCTTGTCAAGGTAAGATAGGCAACATCAGTGTAGAATTGGAATGGTTTACCAAAAAATCAAAATGAGGAAGAGAGGAGAATGTAGGTGCTGTAAAGGTGATGGACTGGGAAAAAACCAAGGGGAGAGGGATTGGAGATCATGATAATGATGAAGAACTGTATGTGGGGCTTTAAGGTAGAGATGGAATAACAAGAGATTATGCTCAGAATTTATGAATTCATGAATGTGGAAGAAGAGCATTGTAGGTGATTTCAATATTAAGGATATGGCCATCTTTGTGTGTGGCTGTGGTGGGATAGAAGAGTAGGTTATGTGAAATGAATAAAATTGAGGGACTGTGAGATAGGTTGTTTCATGGAATATCGATGTGTGTATTGAAGTCCCATTATACAAAGGCAGGAGTTGAGAAAGATTGTGTCACTGAACTACTTGAGGAAAGTAGCTTGAGGATAGAATTTTGGATATTAGTAGATAATAAGTAACAAAAGAGTGAGTGGTAAATACGAATTGAGTGAACTTCTAAGCAGGAGAGGTTACTGCATGATAGAGGTAGAGGGAAAGCCTTGAAGTAGTAATGGGGAGCAAGCATTATTCTGACTCCTTCACCAGAATCAATGAGTTAGGGGATATGAGCAAAAGTGTAAATGATGCTCCCATTGTAACATTGTCTTTACAATCTTGTTGTTATTGTATAAATTGTTCTCCTAAATCTGCCCTCATCTTTGCATCATCTCATACAGTCCTTCCCAGGTTCCCTAAAACCTTTATCTTTATCTGTTGCCCAGTGTAATGGTGCTTTTCCTATTCTAGAAGGAGGTAGGATATCACCTGATGGAATGGTGACCTCTCTGCTTACTCCAAAGGTGGGAAAATAGTGAGTGATAGGATGGTATTTTCCTCTTCCCCATGAGGCTGGAAACCAAGAAAGAGTTGTGGTGTGATAGAATGAATCCCTCTCCCTTCACCAAAAAGGCAGGAAAATGAGACTATTGAATGGCATTCCTCCTCTTTCTGCAAAAGGCTGTTGACTGGCCAAGAAACCTGGTATAATGGAAAGGAGTTTCTACTCTTCCCTGTGTCAGCTGAAGTCCAGTGCAATGGGTTGGCACCATTTCCTCTAACTAGAAAGGAAAGAAAGTACTGTGATGAAATCTTATCTTCTCCTCTTTACTCCTAGGCAAGGAAGGAGACTTGTTTATGATGGAATATCTTTCCTCCTCTTCTTGTGGGAGGCTAGAGAACAGCCATGGGACCTAAAGTGACCAAATAGCTTCTCTTCCCTTCACCAGAAAGCCAAGAGACCATCATAATGGAATTGTGTTTCTCCTTTAAAGGCCAAACAATTATTCCAATATAAGTTTTGGACATAGCATGCCTGGATCTCATGAGTTCCTTACATCTTGTTGAACAGATACTTTGGCTGAGCTCTTAATTCCTAATTCTCCCATTTTCTAGCTTGACTTTGTTCTCTTTAACCTACCAACCCCTGAAATTCACCTTCCTCCCTATATTAATTGTCCCTCTCCCATTTTTCAGACCTCTCTGTGTCTGATCATTGGCTTCACTAACAAAAGTATCTGCCTATTTTCTTTCTGTCTCATTGAAATACTGGTATGAGGACCTGTTGTACTTCCCTGTCCTATTAGTGCCTTAGTCTTGGTGTGATAGGGCAGATGGGTGATGACGTAGATCAATGAAAGTGAATGTTAAAATGCAGGTGGTTTTTGAGGAACATTCTTGTGATCATGCTGAATAGATAAGTGAGATCATGTTAGAAGCACTGAAAGTCCAAGTAGAGTAAATCAATTAATTTCTTGGGCAAGACATAGGGTTCTGAGTTGACTATAAATTTAAAATAAATTATCAGTACAAGATAGCTTCTAAAGAGCATTGAGTAATCTTTAATAACTTCAGATGATTTGTGTGTGATCTCTCAGATTTTGGTTTTCTCTCCATTTTGGTGCCTATTACATACCATTGAGGGTAGCTAGGTAGTACAGTGGATAGAGTGCCAGGTCTAGATTCAGGAAGGCTTATCTTCCTGAGTTCAAATCTGGTCTCAGACACTAATTAGCTGTGTGACTCTAGGCAAGTCAGTTACCTCTGTTTGCCTTAGCTTCCTCATCTGTAAAATGAGCTGGAGAAGGCAATGACAGAGCACTATATTATCTTTGCCAAGGAAACTCCAAATGGGGGAAATGGGGGAATGTGACAGGCAATGAGTGAATCTTATTCTCTAAGATTTTGACTTACAGAGGAAATGACAAACACATTCAGTTGGGTATGGAAATCTGCCTTACCCTAAAGGAAAATAGGGGGAGAAGGGGACAAGAGAGCAGGGGGATGATAGAGAGGAGGGCAGATTGGGAAAGAGGGTAATCAGAAGCAAATACTTCTGAGGAGGTAAAGGGTCAAAAGAAAGAGTAGAATAAATGGGAGGGCAGGATAGGATTAAGGGAAATAAGAGTTAGTTTTTCACAACATGTCTACCGTGGAAGTGTTTTACATAACTGTACATATATATCCTATATAGAGTTGCTTGCCTTTCCAATGAGAGTGGGTGGGGAGGGAGGAAGGGAGAAAATTTGGAACCCAAAGTTTTAAAAGCATATGTTTAAAACAATGTTTTCACATGCAACTGGGAAATAAGGAATACAGGAAATGGGGTACAGAAGTCTATCCTGCCCTACAGGAAAATAGAAGGGGAAGGGGACAAGAGAAGCGGGGGAGAGATAGAAGAAAGGGCAGACTAGGGGAAGATGCATGTCATCTAGGGGTGTGGGGAGGGGTGAAATGGGGGTGAAAATTTGGAATTCGAAATCTTGTGGAAATAAATATTAAAAACTAAAAATAAGTAAATTTATATTTAGAAAAAAATGAAAACTCCAAATGGGATCATGAGGAGTTGGATATAGCTGGAATACTGAACAAAGACAACAACAACAAAGCCAACAACAACAGTGACAACAACAGCAGCAACAACCATCATCACCACTACCACAGCAACCAACAACCACAACCACAACCACAATCACCACTACCACCACCACCATCACGAGCACTACCACAACAAAAACAAAGGCTTATCAGGGCAGGATAGGCAACATCAGTGTAGAATTGGAATGGTTTACTAAGGAATCAAAACGACTAAGAGAGGAGAATGTAGGTGATATAAAGGTGATGGCCT